CCCCCCCCCCCCCCCCCCCCGGCTTCCTCCTCCTCCTCCACCTTCTTCCTCCACTCTCCTCACGCCTGCCGCCGTTCTGCGGCTGCTTCCGCGGGTGCGGTGCGGTGGGCAGACGCCTGCGGCCTATCGGATGCTGCGCACATCGAGAGCCTCCAGGAGAAATCACAGTGCGCGCTAGAGGAGTACGTTCGGAGCCAGTACCCCAACCAGCCAAGCCGCTTCGGGAAGCTGCTGCTGCGGCTGCCCTCCCTGCGCACCGTCTCCTCCTCCGTCATCGAGCAGCTCTTCTTCGTCCGCTTGGTAGGTAAAACCCCCATCGAAACCCTCATCAGGGATATGCTACTGTCGGGGAGCAGCTTCAACTGGCCTTACATGTCCATCCAGTGCTCCTAGAGCCCATCCCGCACCCCCGGCAGAGAGGCGGCGAAGCGGCGGAGAGGGGAACGCTCGCACCGAGGGGCAGTCGGGGTGCGGGGGGGGCCCGGGAGGTGGACACTGAACAAAAGAAAGGGCGAGTGGGAGCAGAGATGTGGCCGTGGAGGCGAGAAGGACGGACCTGTCGTCCATGGAGGTTTTGATTTTTCCCCTTTTTTTTTTTTTGGCCTATTTTGGTGGGGTCTTTTTGTTTGGTTTGTTTTTTGTTTTGTTTTTTTTTTTTTTGTTTTATTGGGTTTTTGTTTTGTTTTGGTTTGGTTTTTGTTTTGGTTTTGTTTCTGTTTTCTTTCGGAGAGGAGGAAAAAAATAAATAAATAATATTAATAAAAGAGACAAAAAAAAATGAGTATTGAGGGGATATTAATCAAACCTGAAGGGGATACTGGATCTTCCAGGATTTATTGTGGACTGTTGTTGATATATGCTGTACAGTAAACCAACAAAACAAAAAAAGCATTGAAACTGAACTGAACCTTGTGTAGAATAAAAATAAAAACGCCCAAAACCAAGCAAACAACAACAAAATTTCCATGCGCAAACACTTATCATGAACATTGTTATTCCTTTTGTAATATATTAGTCTTTATTTTCAATTTTGGTAAAAGTTAAAACATCATATGCGCATAAAGAATAAAAAAGGAGAATTAGGGGAAAATAACATTTTCCAAATAATTATAAAAGAATTGTCCTGTGTCTATGTATCTATATCTGTTTTGTATTTTTTTCTGGTTCCAAACCAGGTTTCCTGTGATTCTATACTAATAATTTTTGATATAACCCTTTGCTTCTTATAATGAGTGCGATATATGTTGTCAAAGCTGTTCTTCAAGAATTAAAATTGAAGTGAGAATTTAAAAAAAATAAAAGAATTTAGCAAAGAAAAACCCCAATTTATCACCCCACAACCCATGAGTCTTGTTGCTTGAAACATGCCAACAACTCAAAAAAAAAAAAAAGAAAAAAAGAAAAAACCCGATAAACAATAACAACAAAAATCTCCCCACAATTTTTAGTCCTTTACTGGTGCTAAAAAGGAGAACTTAAAAAGTACTTGGGAGGGGTAACCAAGTCGTGCAAACTACAGGATGCTCCAAAATGGACTTGACTGTATAAGCTTAGGACTGAGCTGTCAAGGCCTAGAAAAAGGGAGCAGGAGTTGCAGTGTGATGCCTTAGGTGACCTCACCTTGCTGGGACTGCACCACAAACTCTCTCCACCAAGGCTGATGGGCCTATCAGATTGGCCTGCCCCTTTTTGAAATACATTTCCCATCACCTGGATTTTCTGCTGAGTTCACACCTTGCTTTTTACTCTCAGATGCCGTGGGCATGGATTGAAGTCACCGCATGCCATCAACTTTACCTGTGCAGCAGGAGGCGTACTCTAGCCATGGGTCCTGTTTGTTCCAGGCATGATGGCTTTCTGCTTATGGGGGTTTGGCATGGGGTTGACTTTTTTTGGTTTTATCTTCTTTTCCACTCCAAGGACTCGCAGACCCCAATATGTGCTCCAGTGTGCATGCCTTGTGCTTACTGCCAGCCAGAACAGATCTCGATTTTTTCCCAAATCTAGTTGCTGTGTGTGGAGGGTATTCCCACTCCATTAATATAGAAATCCGGCTGGATGCTTGCTCATTGGGTGGTGTGCTAGTGCATTTCATGTATGCTTATGTGCCATGGCCATGCAAAAAACACAGGCTGTGACATCCCACACCATGGCCCACCCACTGCCAGAGCCTGAGCTCTGTGCCAAAAACCCCTTTTCATTTCAGCTTGTCTTTTTCTCCCCAGAAAATTAAAAATTGTTTTTGTAATGGAGCTCCTTTGAAGGTAAAGGCTTCTAGCTGGTGGTGCAGATCTCTGTAACAGCTTTCAGTGCATTAATGTTTTATAGGATCTGAGACAGAGCTGTAAGAACACATAACTACCAAGGGAGCTCTTTCTTAATGTATTAATAAAGCTGGATCTTTAAAAATAACATTGTCCCCCTCACACAGACACCTCCTGTGCCCTCCAAACAAGTCTAGATGAGGTAGACTTCACAGTTTATGAAGACATGGGCAGTGTTTTCCCTTTAATTTGCTATCTTCCATACTCTCCTCTTTCTCCTTCCCTCTCTCTCCTTTCCCTCTCTCTCTCTCAATCTCTCCCATCCTTTTTAATTTCTTTTCATTCTTTATTTCTTTTTTTCCCTTTTTTCTTTCTTCAACAAAATTCTTCAATTCAACTCACTTGGGGTTTTTAATATTCTAGGCGCAGCAGATCTGAGGTGAGAGCAGCTCTGTGCAGGAGACAGTTGTAGCTGGATAATCAAGATTACGGGCAGATCCTCTATGGGGGTATCACCCCATTCAGGATGGAGAAACGGCCTGTATTCATAGGTGCTGGGAGTAGGGGGACTTGGATAATTCCAGACCTGCACACAAGAACAGGGATTTGGGAGTTAGACAGACAGACAGACATCCTCCCTTTTGTCACTCACTTGGACACTGCATGAGTGAGAGCTTTGTTCCTGCCCCTTCCGCGGGGCCTTCCCTGGAGAAAGGGAGTCCAGCAGCCCCTCCGAGCTCTCAACAGGGAGTGAGGGGGAGTGCTCAGACATGGGAGGTGCTGAAAGAAGCATTTTCAGCACTGCTTTATGGTGGGATGGGTGATTTGGGACCCAGATGAATTAGCAGCTAAACAAAAAAAAAAAAAAAAAAAAAAAAAAAAAAAAAAAAAACCCCAAAAAACAAACCCGAACAAACCTGAACCCAAAAAACCCAAACCCACCGAAACGAACAAACACTCCAAAGCCAAAAATAACAACAAAAACCAAACCAACAAAACAAAAAACCAGCCCCCCCTGCCCAACCTAAAAATAAACAAAACACACGGGGAGGACCAAAATAAAAAAAAAAAAAAAAAAAAAAAAAAAAAAAAAAAAAAAAAAAAACAAGAAGAAGCCCAACAAACCAAACCTGAACCCAAAAAACCCAAACCCACCGAAACGAACAAACACTCCAAAGCCAAAAATAACAACAAAAACCAAACCAACAAAACAAAAAACCAGCCCCCCCTGCCCAACCTAAAAATAAACAAAACACACGGGGATATCGGAATAGAAAAACAGGTCTCAGTTTCTTCCAGTGAGATGTAAATAAATTCATTACGGTGTTATCCAACTGATGAAAACAGATAAACTTTTTCGTAGATATTTTTCAATTAATTTTCATATTTATGAATAATAATAACCCACGGATTGCCAAGAAACTTGCAGGTGTAGAGGAGGTGTACAAGATGCACTTATTTCCATGTATGTGCCTAGAAAGAAGTGTTTCAATCCCTTATTAAACTTTGCTTATAAGACGGTATTGTGTTTTGAAGTGTTAACTACTCAGTCTGCGTTGTGTCAGTGGATGTTTTCCTTTGCCACGCTGCAGGTTCTCGGGCATTCATATGACAGCTAAAAATACTGTATCATCGCTTAATCGCGTGCTATTTGCTGGGGAAAAAAAAAAAAGTTAATGTGGAGACAGGTTGGGGTCCCTCAGCAAGTTTCTGCCGATTTATTCGTCATCTACAATGTGCTGCTTTAAAACCAGCCCTACCTACATTTCTCTGCCGCGTTGTTGCCGGGGGCCCGAGCGCTGTCCCCGGAGGCTCCTCGGTTCCCTAAGCTCCTCAGGAGGCGGGGTCGGCAGGGAGTTCCCTCGCATCCCTGCATCCTGCCGCGCAGGGCTCCGCGGCCCCTCCATGCTCACCAACAGCTGCGGCAGCACTTCAAAGGCTGAGGTGGGGTTGGAGGGGAGGAAGCTGGAGGTCGGTGGAATTTGGGAGAGGGGCGACCCTCCCACCCTAGCCCCGCGCAGGGGACCTGCTCGGGGCACGGCAGTTACAAAGCTCTGCTTCCCGCTCCTCTTAGCACCTCGCTAAGTAGCTTGCCTCCTCCCACCGCCCAATTAGGCCTTTTCTATACATTTAATCGAACAAATATTTGGAAATGCTGCTAAGTGGTAGGTTGAACCCGAGCTGAAGAGGAGGGGGGCTTGCCGGCGGTGGCAGGGGTAGCGCCGAGGCGAGGGTCGTTCGTGTGCGCGCCTGTATGGGTGCGTACCTCCTCCGGCTGCCCGTGAACACCACGGGCTGCGGCTTCCCCTTGCCTGGGATTTCTCGACACGCCCTTGCCCCCGGGAGGCACCTTTTGGGTGGCTCGGCTTTCATCCACCTCCTTCATCTGCAGGAGGAGAGTGATAAGCCTACTCTAAGGGTGGGTGGTAAGTGAAAACCCCCACTTTCCCCGTGTCCATCGAAATAAAGTAGAACTGGGGAGGGAGCGTGGGTATGGGACTCTATCACGAGTGATTTGTCTCATCGCCACCAATAAAATCGACGGATCAAGATGAAAAAGACTTTTCCTGCTGAGGTAAATGGAGGGTCTTGCACGAAAATCTGGCTCGGGGTCACTGCAAGTGTCACCAGAAGTAATACAAGAAAAAGGTGGATTCTGCGTGGGTTCACTCGCAGGAGACTGGTTGGTTACCTACACAAAGACAGAAATGTCTTTTATCTGACAGAAAGGTTGAATAGGACCTTCGGTTTTGCTGGTGTTTTGTTGCGGTTTTTTCCGTTTTGGTGTTGTTTTTTGGGTTTTTTTGGTTTTTTTTTTTTTATGGGGAGTGTTTGTTTAATTTTGTGGTTCGGTTTGGTTTCTTCTCATTACCTGTGGGGTGTGGCAGCCAGATGTCCCCTGCTCAACAGAAAACAGATGCGACCAGTTGCGAGCAGGCACGGTTGGCAGGGACGGTGGCCTTGGCTGGCCTGGATGGACTCTCCGACAGATGGACAGAGGGACGGAGGGCTCAACAGGGATGTCAGGTCTTGCTGCAGCCACCCCCTCCAGCAGTGTCCCAGCACGCAGCCATTCACAGGGAGTGTCCGTGAACGCGTGTGCACGGCTGTTACAGACACTGTCGACATGTTTCCTGCGGTTTCCTGGGACATTTTGACTATTCAAAGCGTTAGTTTATAAGTCTTGAAATAGCGGGCAGAGTTTTTTTCTCCTCTCCTCTCCTCTCCTCTCCTCTCCTCTCCTCTCCTCTCTTTTTATTTTTTTAGACCCATATATCTGTCTTCTCTGCTCTCTGTTTTACTGGGACAGGCAGCAATTAGGGTCCCGTCGCCCTTTCCCAAGTTTGTTCCGTTTCTTTTATATATTTGGGACTGGTTTCAAAAACTGCATGACCTCTACGAAACCTGTCCATATATTTATTTTAAAAGGTTCGTTTTCTCCCTGGCTTCACAGTCACTGACTTTGATGTGCGATTTTTTTTTTTTTTTAGATACCCTTCCCTTTTTAATCCACAGAGGGTCAGAGAGAGGGAGGATGAATCTTCTGTGGTGATTCCCCCAGTAATAATAAAAAATAAATGCATTTCCAAAGCCACCACTCTAAGGTGCCATGGATAGACTTGATATGTCTGGGTACTTTGCAAACCTGCCGGGTTTCCAGGTGCTGATGACGTGGGAGAATTTCTCCTACAAGGCGTTTTTGAAGAGGAATAGAAAAAAAATAAATAGATGGAGAGAGAAACAAAGAGCGAGAAGGAAGGATGCAGGAAAGGAAAGATTTTAAAAGAGTAAAACATTAAAAAAATTTTAAAAAAGGAAATGGACAGAGGTGTGAGGGAGGAGGTGAACGAGAGGGGAGATCCAGGAGCAGAAGTGGAAACCAATAAAACTCTTGTTAAAGTATTTGCTCAGGATCCATGGCGTCACAAGGTCTCTTACTTAGAAAGCCAGAGAGTTTTATTCCTAAATGAGTTAAAGAGCCATTTACCTCTGTCGTGTTCTATTCATCATGCCACAAGTCGAGAGTCCCTAACATGAAACTATTTGTTTGCTTACACAACCAGCTGGGTGCAATTTCACGACTGAGATATCTATCTGAAAGCGCCTCTCATTTATTATCCTTACTTGTCAGCGAATCCATTTTCCAACTTTTTCCCACCTCCACGCCCATTCTTTCTTCCTTCATTGAAGTCTCTGTGTTTAAATGCTCTCTTTAAGCATTTCAGCACCGACCCCTTCTCCTGTCAGAGCACCTTCAGCGCAAAATAGCCGGGGAGCAAGTCTGAAACTGCAAAGATGGGAAAGGCGACCACTTCTCAAGGTGGTCCCATTTTAAAGCTCCTGCCCTTTTTTCCCTCCCTCCCGTTTCTCCCAAGGCGTCTCTGACAGTGCTATGGAGTCACCTACCGGTCTTCTCAATTTTAAGTGACGGCACCCCTGCCGGACATTTTTCCATGGCAGTCCCGGTGCAAGGTGCAGCCACCTGAAAAAAAAAATAATTGCATTTTCTGCCTGTGAGAAAGGACCGGAAACACACCCTCCCTGACACTGCCGAAGCCGTAGAAAGGGGACCCTGGCTACTCTTGCTAGACCACTTTTGATGGGCACTGGGCAAGGGCTGGTGTACGGAGGAGGGTGGTGGAGGTATTCTGAAGAAGGCTTGAGAAGGAATGTCAGGATCTCTTCTCTGGCGTGGTCTCTACTAGAAATACAAAGACACTATATATAAAGGGCCAAACCAGTTTATAAAAGTAATTGCGAGGAAAGACAACAATGAAGTAAAAGGGATGGTGGGAAACTATATCTCCCCGCCTTTTCCTTAGCCCAAATTTTGTAAAACCAGGACAGTGTGAGTAATGCTTCAAAGCTGGACTGTCTGGCTGACATAAGATTCACTGTTGGTAATTTCAATGATAGCTGTATAATCCATCGTTGGGACCCTCCACCAAACTTAAAGCAACGGATCAAATCCAAAACTACAGGTATAAAATATCCCCAGCTGTTAAAAAGGAAGAAGGGGGAAAGAGCAGGTGGGGAGAGGCTCCTTAGAGAAAAAGCAGGTTGCTGTTTGTAAGCTATGCTATTATGTTATTTAGGAAGGTATTTGCTGTATATGACGTTTAAAGTGGATCATACCACTGCTGGACTAAACAAAGCCCAGACCAAAGCGTGGGAGTCATGGTGGACCCCAGTGAGGAGCGGGGTGTGTGTGTGTGCGTGCGTGTCACAGACCCTGCAGTAGCCCGAGTGCATGTGTATGCCAGGAGTCAACCTAGGCTGCATCCCGCTCAGCGAGGGCTGATTAGCATTTCCCGGCAGCCGTGTACCAGCGCTGACAACTAACAGAGATATCCAGCTCACCATTAGGCCTTCTCCTTTTGTCTACGAACTGCCGGCAGCAGCCCAGACCCCCGCGCCTCCGCTGCGGCGTGCAGCCCTGCGTGCAGCGCTCCGTGCCCCGCTGTCCGGCCACAAGCTGCCACCCCACCTGCCGCTGCCTGCAGTCAACACCTCCGTTCACCTCTCCGCCAGTTAATTTTTACATATATATATATATAAGTATATTTTTATGGTCCCCTTCCTTTCCCTTAGAAGGTTGAAGTGAGGGGTGCTTCCCGAGGCACCCAGGATTCTTATTCCCCTCAGAGTTCACAGCAAGTCAGGGCTGCTCTTTTCCACCTTGTTTTCTCACTTTTCCTGTATCTGCACTGCGGGATCGGGTGCGGCAGTGGCTGCCTTCAACAAACACACGAGTCGCCCCATTTGCTCTCCTTTTGTCTTTCCCCCACCTGGGGTTCTTTTTGAGAGGTGAGATATCCGTTGAAACGCTTAACCAGCTCCACGCAAAGAGCCAATAAAGAAGGAGATGGGATTTAAATTCACAGGCCACTA